AGAGAGAGAGCAAACGTTTACGAGGCATAAACGCCAAAACAAAAGGCGGCTGGGCGCGAAACAATTAAAAACGTTACGCCCGATCGCTCTCCAACGTTCTCCTCTCCTGTCCTTGGTTTTTCTTTCTTCCTCCTTCTCTCTCTCTCTCACCCCTATCCATCATCCACCCTGTAGCGTACACACAACCATCCATCCCGCATTCACCCCTTTCACTGCGACACACAACGAAAAAACACATGGACGCTGGAGAGCGGTGCTCCCACGCACACACATATATTCAGACACAAACATGTATATAGGCTCGGAAATAAAAGGGAATCGCGACGATTTAATGACTGATCGCGCGGGCTGTTGCTCGCTGTGTCGCCGCAAGCTGAAGGGCTCTCTTCCACCCCCGCCCATCTCTCGTTCCTGCTTCTCTCTCTCTCTTTCTCTCTTTTTCTCTTTCTCCGTCACTTGGTACCCTATAAGGAACTTGCCTTTTCTTCGAGCTCTCGCGCACCGATCTCCCGAATCAATTACGTCATTTCTAGCGCGGTAGATCGGGCGCTGCTATTTTCCGAGCGTATTGATACGTAATAATGAGAGTCTTTTCTCGTTGCTCAGATCCCGTTTCCGGGATTGAATCTGCAAACTGCTTCTGCTGCTGCAGGGCGCGTATATATCGCGCAATTCTACTAACTGTGCGATTCTTTCTTTCTTTCTTTCTCCGACCACTGTGCTTCCTCTCTTCCGAGCCTCGTTATTTCATAAATTAATTGACGCTCATGTGAAGACGCATCGTCGGTTTTGGAAATCATTATTTTCGGCTTGAATTCTTTATTCGTTCAGATTTTTATTAGTCAAGATTCGATTCAATATGTAGATAATAAATGGATTAAAAAAAAGATGGTTATTCTATACTGATATTATAGTCCTGACTATGGAATTTTTTATATGATATCAAAATAAATATAATAGATGAATTTGAAATATTTGATTCTCGTCTTTCGAAAATTCTTTTTTCAGATGTTTTAATTTTTTTAAATATACATCTTTTTCTACGTGCACATATAAATTTTCGTGCCTCGCTCGATAAATGTTAAATCGCTAGGATTTCAATTTATAATAGGAAAACTTTCGACGTAAATTATCTCCAGCTGCAATTTAATAGACCCCTTCCCGAAATTAACATCATTTACAAAGGCCGTTTATCAATCGCATGCGCGGTCAAAGAAAGAGAAAGCGTTTCCGAGTTCCGCGTATACACACTCCAGTTACTTTACGGTCTTACGAACAATAGAAACTGATAATTCACTCAGCCACCGGCTCCCCCGCATAATCTCGGGGGTCCAGAATAGTCAAACTCATGCCGCTACAGGGTTACGTTCGAAGCAAAGGGGGCTAACTAGATGAATTATCTTTGCAACATATAAAAATACATAATCGCGATTAAATACGTCAAGATCTTTTTAATAAAAAAATATAATTAAATTTTTAATTTTTTAAAAATGTCTATTGAATTTTTATTTTATCTATGCAGGGTGTCTGACATAAAATATATACAATTAGATCTTGTTATTTGGAGACAGTTTTTCCTCAGCAAAAATATTGAGGCATCAATAATTTCCTAGTTATAAGCGATTAAAAATAAAGAGTTTTTCGCAAACTAAATCTTGTGGAAATAAAAATATTAACAAAATTACATTCTCCAATGAATTTCAAGTAGAGTCTTGACTTTAAGAAAATTTTAATTTAAGGTTTAAATGTAAAGATGCGTGATGCAAAAAATGACGGTCTCCCTCGAAGATATTGCTGAGGAAAAATCGTCTCTAATTTCGGTGTGACACTTTACGTCAGACAGCCTGATATAGTGCTCGAAATTGGAATAACTGTAAAGGGGTGTATCCTTGCAGAATCTCGAATCGTCTTGGACAGAAGCAAGGAGACGGAGACGACGGGTTATGTATCGAGGAAGGCGAGCGAGTGCGCGCACGGGCTCGTTTCGCCTAAGCCTAATTTATAGGGATGTTTCGTGTCCTCCACAGTTGCCCCGCCAGGCTCTGTGTCCTATTACTCCTATTCTCTATTATGCGCCGCCGTAGGCCGCCGGGAGCCTCTCCCGATATCTATGTGCCATTCTAAATTATTCGGTATTGTCCTCGCATGATTCCATTGTCCGCGTCTGTCTCCACCGTGCGCTGATACGCCACGCCGCCGCAGGTTAGGGCGTAGACCTACAACAACACCCGGCCGCGGCTTGTGTGCGCGCGTGTATCTGCTTCGAGTGCGCGTCTTGTCATCGCGCCGCGGTCAAGAGAGAGATCCGCGCTCTCGCGTGTACATCGTCGAACATGTCTAATTAATCGCCGCCACCGATCTCCTATAAGAATGCGCAGGACCGCGCCTGTCCGTGACGGCCTATGATCGGTGATTGTGAATGACGTCATCTCGTCGCTCGTCTGCCGAAAGGCTACTATGTGTAAGGGTACATTAGTTTTTTTAGACGTTATACGTGTTGCTGGCGAGATTAAAAGTAGGAGTGAAAGTTTGAACGATGTCGGATACACTGGCGGAAGTCAATGATGGGGGAGAGTTTCTACGAAATAATTTTTTTTTTTGGACATCGTGACTATATATTACAACAGTTTGAAATGTTGAATTAATATCGAATTATCACATTATATTTAATTCTTGGCATTGAGATTTTTTCAATTTTTAAGCGACAAGTAAGTAATTTTGACGGCAGTCTAAAAAAATGTAGGAGAATGTCGTTTCGTATATTTAAAGATAAATATATATGATGAAATCGACATTTTTATTTAACGAAAGACTCGAGTGTCGATATATACTGACATTTCTCGATATTTACACTAGTCGATTTAACGTCGACGTTTCTTCGCCAAGTCGTGGATGAGTACGTTTCTCTCTTCTTTACGGCACAAAACGAGTTTTATTAACTTCCCCGCGTCTCAAAATACACGCTAGCTATATATCTATATATATATATACACGGTCGCTCGTCGAAAGACACCCAAGAGAAGTTAGATCTCTCATTCGTATGTGTGTTCGGGACGAGAGAGAGATTACAATAAATTGCACACGCACCCTTCTCGAAATTCAAGACAAGTACCAGGAGAAGAAGGAAAGAAGGAGGGGGAAGAAAAAGATTCCTGTTCGCGATACTGTGTTCTCTATTGCCACCGCCCAGAAGGGCGTTCTTTTTCTTCACAACGCGTGTTCTCGTTTTTCTTTTCCGCCATCGATTATAGACGGGTGCTTTCGAGAAGGACAGCTTCGAAATATTCCTTTTCATTTTATTATTATTACTTATTATTTTCCGGACCCGTCAATTAGATATATTTTGCAATTCAAGAACTAGTATATACACATACATCATGTCCGATATGTTTCGGAATAGTAAATAGGGAGAACCGCCGAGGACTCTCGAGTTACTCCATTCCATACACGACATTTCTAAAGTACAGACTAAGGGATAACCCTCGTTTGAAGTTGCGTTTAAAAGAGATCGGGCATATAAATCACACCGGTAATTTTCGCTGTCATTGTCGAGCCACGATATACACAGGATCGTAACAGTATTTGCACCGGGCGTCATCCGAGACACCCTCCGTGTACATTCGAGGAACGCAGGACACTTGACACCCTCAAGGACCCGACATACAGACATGCACTTCGTTACGCCGCCACGGGACTTTATGAAGGTTATACGGGACAGGGATATATGAATTTCAACGTCACATGCGAGAGAAAGAGGGAACATCGTGGCACGCATGAGAGAGAGAGAGCCGGAGGGGTTGATCTCCCTGCGAGAGAATGATATTTTAATAACCGCCGGTAATATCTACCGGGTATAGGTGTGCATTTATATACAAACGCTTCGAGGCATGTCAGGGGAGAGAGGTTTCAGAGTGCTCTCTCTTTCTCTCTCGCTGCGCCAGCAGCTACATTAACACCGTCCCTCGATATTGCATTCCTTTCCTTTGACGTCGGCTGGATGTCAATTATTAATGTTATTATCTGGAATCCCGCCCCGGAAGGGCAGAGAATTTTTCCCTTGACACCGACGGCGCGAACCCGTTCGATATTATCTCATTCAAGAATGAGCTCGAACATTGATTAATGTGAAGACTGTAAAATCCATTTAGCCAGCGAAGAGGATGTTGTCGAAATATCCATACAAATATTACAATTACTCAGGAAATTTTTTTTCAGCGAGAGGGAGGTATAATTAAAATTTTTTTATATTAAATATCCGAAAATAATTTTTTTAATGATTCCAAGGGGGAGCGAATGCCTCCTGTTGCACCCTTCTGCGAACCGAGCATCGCAGCACCGAGATATCATAGAATCCGCGAATAAAAACGTATAGATTAAAGTGTATATCCGTAAAGGAAAATGAAATAATTGCTACTAATCGATAAAATCGCATCGCATTCATCGGCCCGTATCGCGTTCGAGGAACGTAATTCAGCGTGCGGAGAGAAATCGCGGTTAAGCGCACGCTAAAGAGTCCCGCGTGCTTGAACGGCACGAGCGAAGGGGCGCTCGAATAAGAGGGTGGGTCGATAAGGGGCCGAGGAGGCGGAGGTATAAACCGGGGCAGGGTCCTCTCTGGCTACATATATTTCCCGCGAGTCTATCAATCTCTCTCTCCCTCGTTAATAAACGGACGGTTAAACTTTTTAACGAGCGGTCAGAGACTTATTGCACCACGCCGGGATTCTTTCACGCATTGCCGATGGCGACTCGTGTATGCGCGTGCACTCGAATGCTACAACTCCCTCGAGAGCGTGCTCCGTGCCCTGCTTTACTTTTCGCCGGAATAAAGAGAAAAAGAGGGAGAGAGAGAGAGAGACTCTTTATACGTTTGCGCGACCTCCCTCAATTATTCTCCGAATATAAATCTGGATGGAGAAACTTTGGGGAAATTGCGATACCCCTCGGACTTGTAGAATATGTAAGATTGTAAGAAGCGATGCGGTGGTTTTTGTTTTCAGGATCGAGGCGATCCAGGATCTCCGAGAGCACGACGGCAACGATCCTGTCGACCAGCGACATCGGTAACGAGGATGATCGTGATTCCGACTCTGGTGGCGAGCTGCGAGCCGATCATTCATTAGGTACACAGATCATTAACATACATTGCTTGAGAATGAATATGTTTTGTATCTCATCTCTTCTCTTCAATAATGAAATAATGAAATAATAATTTTTATATTACATATAGAAAATTATATTTTTATATAGCATTATGTAGAAATCACAATTAAAAATTGTAATTTCTTTGCTGTAAGAAATTTAAATGCTAAGTATATGTCAGACAATGTACCAATTAAATAAAATATACTGATACTAATACTTATATTAACATCTCATAATAATTAATATTTAATTTTACCATTGAGAAAAGATTTTTATTAATTATTACTGGCGAACCTTAAGAATCTGTTTAATTTTATCGTCCTATTTCTTTCTACTCGACCCTATAGAATATCGCTGCAATTAACGTCGGTATTCCAATTATTCCCCCTTGTTAGACTTGACTTCCCTCGTTCGCACGTGGATAAGCCTCCCCGTATAAAGTTCTCCCGCGAATGTTGCAGTGGTGCCGACTTCGTCGGGGATACCGGAATCCGGGGAGGCGACCCTGAGGAAGCGCACCAGCAGCCCGAACGACTCCGAGGACGGCAGTCCCGAGCCGGCGGGCTCGCAGAGTCCGACGCACACCCCGCCGTTGACGCCGGCCTTGACGCCCCAGAGGGAGGACACCCCGGCGCCGGAGAACCTCAGCCTACGCAAGAGCGGCAGTCCTCCGCAGCAGACGCAGCAGACCTCCATACAGCCGGTGGATCTGGTACAGCCTAGGCCCAGTCCTCCGCTACCCCCATTAGCCGTGAGTTCTTATTGTTTATGATTTGCAAGATTAAATTGCATGAAGCTTTAGCAAATAAATCGAAATTTTATTTAAATTTATTCTCCATCAGAGGAAGGAATATTTAAGCCTTACAATTAGAATTAATATAGTATAGTCAGATAAAAAAAAAAGCATCTTGAAATCATTATCACATTAAATTGCAGTAAACAAAGTTCTCTTCGTTAATGCAACATTAAACAGAGAAGAACGGAATTTTTTTCTTTCAATAATATTAAATAATATTAAAATAAGCGAGAGAGGCTAATATGAAGATAAAAATTTCTAATAAATCTTAGATGCTATTTAATTAATTCAAATTAAACGATTCGGTCCCTTGTGACATAAATTGTTCTTCTGCTTTTGATCATTACTATTGAATTACTTATATTACATAATTAATAATGCGTTAGTCTAAGATTCATTGCAAAGGTTTTTATTAGCCTCTTTTTTCATCACTTCTTTAATTCTAAAAAAATGCATAAAAAAATTGACGAATTTGCAGGCAGCGGCGACGGTGCACTTTCCTCCGTATGCGCCTCTCTACGGGCCGACGGCGAGCCCGTTGGCGTATTGCACGCCGGCGCTGTATCAGCATCAGCACCACCATCACATACCCGAACCGCGAGAGATTCAGATGCAGATGCAGATGCAAAATCTCCAGCAGACCTGCGGCTTGCAGCTCCAGCAACAGCAACAACAGCAGCAGCAACGTTCCCCGGTAGACGTCCTGCTGCGCGTGTTTCCAGGAAGACGTCGCGGCGACGTCGAGGCGCTTCTCCATCGTTGCAAAGGTAGGAGCTTTTTTAGTTTCTTTCCTTTTTTGGAGCTTCTTCGCTCAGCGAGAAGCTTTTCAAATATTTATTATGACTCACACATTTGGCGAGAATATAATTGATCGAATTGCTCGAAAAGCTGCGTGTAAATTTATTAATACGCGCATCTGCGACGAAAATCACAAGATGTTCATTATTTCATTCGCTTATAGTATTTTTTTTTTAATATTATATATTCTAAATATTGGAATATAAATGACGAGATTCTAACGTCATTCAATAAGGATGTTCTCGATGATGATCCCTTTGTAATCATGATTGAATTTGCTCGACAACGGCAAGGAGACGAGGTGTGAGATCGCGCGGTGCCAATAGAGAATCTGGCTGTTTGTCGGCAGGCGACGTGCTGTCCGCCATGGAGGTGCTGGTCTGCGAGGACAGTCTGCAGCCGAAGTCGGCGTTCTCGCCTCTGGCGGGCGCCCTGGCCTCGGCCGCCGCGGCTTCCGCAGCCTCCGTCTCAGCGTACGCGAGCCGGGCGGCGTACTGCACCACCCCAATCCCGTCGACGCGGCACCGCTTCCTGGCCGCGCCTTACACCGGCACGGGTTACCTGCCCACGGTCATCAAGCCGCCTAACCAGAGCCTGCACGCGAACGGCACCGCCGGGGACGCCTACCGGGAGACCAGTCCTGACGACGCCAGCGACAAGACCAGCTACTCCGAGTGACCGGACGAAGGCCACGTCGCCGTCTGGTCGTATCCCTCGGTGGTCCCGTGACTCGGGACGACGACGCGAGTTCCTGGGCGAAGAGACGTGAGTCTTCTCCTCTTCTCGTTGTCAGCTGTCATCGCATCGGGTGACCAAGAGATATTATTTCAAAGCCTGTAATCGCGACGACAATGACACGATCGGGAAAAAGTCTCGAGAGTTATTGATCGATCGGGTTATCGTCACCCTGGCGGAATCGACAATCCCTCCTAATCGAGAAGCCAACCGCTTGAAAAGATCGAGTCTTCCAGCATCTCCTATAGCGAACGTGATTTGATCTCCGAATACGCAGGATGGACGAGAGAACGGAATTTAAATATATGCTACGAGAGAGGTTCTTCTCTTCCGATTCTTTCGACTGGACACCGTTTTTAAATCATCTTTACACACGACGGATAAATTTAGTGATCGGCCGTCCTTTCGCTAGCTAAGGATATACGTAATTTCGATGGTTAGCAGAATACATATGTGTGCGGCGGAAAAAGAAACTATATGACGTTGAGAAATCGAGAGGAAACCATAGATCCGAAGAATCGGATCCCACTCATTATCGACGCTTTGCGAGCAAATATGTAAGTCAGATGACAAACGATCGCAATGAAGCTGTTCCAGTAGACAATAAACGAAAATAAATATCGTCGCTTTTTGCATCTCTGCGAGGGCGCCGAGAGGGCGTCGAGGATGTCTGACAATCCGTTTTAATATCCATACACGTATATACATTTCTCTACGCGCGGAAAAGATGCTCGGATTAATCAGATATCTCCGCGTTAAAAATATATAATTTCCGCGCCGATCGCTGAATTCTCGTATGACGACGAATCTCTTCGATGCGAGGAAAGGAGCGCCGGAGGATGAAAGGATCCGCGCACGACCGCGATTCGTCTCCAGAGTATATACTTTATACATGTGTAGATAAAGACTAAATATAGACAGAGATATGTGTGCGTGTGTGTGTGTGTATGTAGGTAACAAGTTCTCGAGACGAGTATATCGGCCAAACTGAGGAGGGTGAGTCTGTAAATACAACGTCTATATAGCTAATTTGATCTTGCATTAATCATGAGATTTGCCGGAATATGTTAAACGCGCGTACATTACAACACGTAATATACATGTAAGTGTTTGCCTGTAAGTAAATAACGCCTGCAAGATATTTAGATTTTAGCCGCTAGCGGAACCGGAAGCATCGTTTTACCGTAGTTACCACAAGAAATGACATGTTACTCGAAAAAAATGTATAGATACCGAAGATACATCCAATAAATAAGATATTGATACTCCATATACGTCTCGCATTCGCGCCCCATTTTTTTCATCTGTTCAATTAATTTTCTACATTTTTTCGAAATTTTGATTTCGTAACTTGAAGAGTAGCACGAGTCATAAATGTGGACGTATGCAAAAATATCTTTCGGCAAACGCGCTAATTTATCTTTCGCTTCTCATTAATCTAATATATATTCGAATACAGATATACTTAATCACTTGAATTTTTTCACATTTTGTTTCTTTTTAGATGATTAATAAATTTAAAACTATTTACGTAATTATTCAAATGCTTGCGAAAACCATGCTATAGCTATTAATACTTCTCGCAGGTTTCGTAATTCGTACATATGACAAACGAAACGTCGCAATAAATAAGATATTGATACTCCATGTACATACGTCTCACATTCGCGCCCCATTTTTTTTATCCGTTAAATTAATTTTCTACACGGTATAAATTTTATTTCTACAAAAAAAATTTGATTTCTTAACTTGAATAGTAGCACGAGTCATAAATGTGGACGTGCAAAAATATCTTTCGACAAACGCGCTAATTTATCTTTCGCCTCATTAATCTAATATATATTCGAATACAGATATACTTAATGACTTGAATTTTTTCACATTTTGTCTCTCTTTTTAGATGATTAATAAATTAAAAATTATGATTTACATAATTATTCAAATGCTTGCCATGTTATAGCTATTAATACTTCTCACAGATTTCGTAATTCATATACATATGACAAACGAAACGTCGCAAAGTCTGCTTGCAAACGCAAAACGCGTAATTCGTTTGCGGCAGAAAAGAGATGCGGAACACGTGTCTTTTCCAGATGCGAGAGATAAAGAACTCGACTGATTTTTCACGAAAGACAGGTCTTCCGGCTGAATGAAAATTTCACAGCGACCTTCGAGCCAACCAAAGGAAAAGGTATCGGATGACGAGCGCCGTTCGCAGGTGAAGAAATGGGATACGCGACGTATCGTCGAATTCCCGAAATCGTTTCATGGTCGATCGATCTCAAATCGCGGCCGCGCCATTTCCAATAAATCGATCCCGGTCCAATGTGCGAGTAGTCAATTCTGCCGCTCAATTTACGCGGATACAGTCGCAGAGAAAGAGAGGGTACGTCAATTTTCCCACATCCTCTTCGATGTATAATATCGAGGAATTTCGTAGACAATTTCACATCTCCATTTTAAATTAAATTGCACGTCACATTTTTTCTTATATATTTCATAGCTTTCATTTTTTTAATATCTCTGAAATTTGAGAAAAAATCTCAGAAAGGGATATAAGAGATCCCCCTTAATTTTGCATTTATTTAGATACACCCTGTATATAAAAATAAATAAAAGTTCAAGTTGTAATTAATATATAGAAAATAATTTATTGCGCGTGTTTTGCTCCAAACTTGATATACCTATTATTTAACTCTACGATCTGTCAAAAAATGGTTTTAACACAAATGATCGGACCGCATTGCTTCGTTCGTGCTTCGTAATGTTTTTTCGGGAAAAGGAGAGGGTTGATTTCCTGACGGAGGCGAAAAGTCGAGCGCGGTGCTTCGGCAATTACGCCGGCGACGTGTACGGTACATCGGCACGCTTAGGTACATCGGTATCGATGGAATACCGATAATCGACTGGCCTCTACAAGGCGCATATCCGGATAGGTCGATGCCTGAACACGCGCCCGGCGTTATATACCCCGGCAATTTGTGCACATAATGCCCCGGTTATTATTTACGAGGCATGGCCGCCTGGTTTTCCAGGGGTGGCAATATATCGACACCCCACGGAGTTTCCCTTCCTTTGGCTACTGGTTACCATTCATAATGGAGCATAATAGCATTCTCTCTCTCTCTCTCTCTTTTCCCCACCCTGCCCTTTACCTCTAGCGGATTAATTCGCAGTCGGAGAGTGCAACAACCCTTCCTCCTCCCTCCATCCCTTTTCGTTCCTTCGTCGCGTCTCGCGTTCGCATCCAGGAATTTTAAGCCACCAGGGGATGGGGCGAGGGGTTGTTAGAGTTGGAAACCGATCCGATTGTTGCGAAAAGGGGATGATAGGAGCGAAGTAATTTCAGGTACAGGTCGAGGTGCCGAGATTTCGTTCATTGAATTACGCTTGCGTCGATGATCGGCTTTAAAGTCTTTTTTACCTCCATTCAATTTCGCATTTATTAATATTTTATTAAGACACACCAATCAAAGATCGAAGAATTGTTTTCGTCATAAAAAAAACCATAAAGTTGCAAGAAATAAAATTTAAGATTGCTTATAAATATAAGACGTAAGAATAGCTTGTCAATTAATTGCGAAAGGAAAATATTGCCACATGTTCCATCGGATGATCATTCTAAAGTCCTAGAATATGAATCTAGCAGAGAGTAAAATATGATACCGACGTTACATAATACCAATGAAGATTTTTTACTTCCTCGATCGCTTGTTCTTTTTTTTTCCTTTTTTTTCATCGGACCATGAATTTTCGTCCTCGACTATAGCTGACCGAATAACGAGTCGAATGGCTTTTAACATTTTTTCGACTTCCATCAATATTTGCTCCCTCGCTCGCTATTTCTTTTCGTCTCCTTCTCTTGGGAACCGAGAGTTCCTCTACCCTACGTGCACCCACACGCGTGTTTTTACGAATACACGGCGGCTCGCTCAAACATACATATACGTATATATATACGAATGCGTGGAAGCCGATCGAAGAGAGAAAAGAGATTTTTTGGGCCTTTTCTACGGATAGCGCGGAAGAGAGAATAAAGTGTTGCCGAACGTCGGCAAACATGGCGTCGTGTTTGCTCGTCCTGTGAAGCCGATCTTTGGTTGGTACCACCAACCTGTGTGTGCACACACACGTATAAAAAACGCGTGCGTGATTCAATGTGTGCGAAGGATGACATCGAATAAGGTTCCATTAACTTTCTTTGCACGATATCGGAGCGATTGATTGCTTTATCACGAGCTTCTTCTTCTTCCACATCATCAGCTTCGTTTATTTGCTAATTGATAATATTATACATATATATAAAAAATATTTGATTTAACATACTAAAAAGATTTCGTTAAACATTTTTTCAATATCAATATTCTTATTATTGGGTCATAATAATTATTACAATTATTCCTACTTCATATATTTTCGGTTTCACATAAATTTAGTAAAAAATCAGCTGATTATATACTCATATAAAAAAAGTTTAATATAAGAAACAAATTCATCAGCTGATGTAATTTATGCATTCTTAACAAAACCTTTCTCAGGTATCTTTATTAGATATTTTATATCAATATTCTTATAATTGAGAGATAACAATTATTACAATTATTCCTACTTTATTTTCGGTTTCACATAAATTTAATAAAAAATCAGCTGATTATATACTCATATAAAAAAAGTTTAATATAAGAAACAAATTCATCAGCTGATGTAATTTATACATTCTTAACAAAACCTTTCTCAGGTATCTTCATTAGATATTTCTAGCTATTTTTCATCGAGTCGACTATTCTTTCGACGTTAGGCAGAATCATTCGCGACAACGGGAGAGAGGACGGAGTAATAGAGTCCAGGGAGAGAGACGTCAGTGTGCAAATCGCGTAGACCCCTTCCCCTTCCTTCCTTCCTCCGAGGGGCGTCGCGAAACAATTCCCAACTGAATAATATTAGTATCTAACAATGGACGTGCTAAATTGAAATACAGAGGGCACGCTGTTTCACGGGGATCGCACCCGTCCCGCATTCTCCGCGTTATAAACGTCCGCTCCCCGGGTGATGCGTGTGTATATGTGTGTGTGTGTGTGCGTGTGTGTGTGTGTGTGCACGAGGTGCACGTAGATAGATCACGTAGCGGCTGATACCCCCACGCGTCCGGGTGTTAGTTCTCTGTAACGCGGCAGCGGGGATCGCGCGAAGCTGCTCAAGGCGAGAAATAGCATGCAAATGAAATATTAATTAAATCTAGGAAAATTTGCCGTCCCTCTTTCTCTCTCTCTACTTCGTTCTGGCCGACGACCGTTTCTCGACGAGCAACCCTTTTCAGTTTCCCGTACACTATCCAGTCTCCTTAACCGTCCTTCGTTACGAGCGGACGTTGTCTATACTGAAAAATCTCTGTCTGTCTTGTTTCTATATACACATTTTGTCCTTCGATGTTTTACGATACGAGTCTTGGATGTTCGAACAAAAATTATTCATTATTAAATATCTTTAGTATTATTATTACATATATATTACATCTGTATTACGCGTTATTTACAAAAAGCATTTTTCTTGAATAAATATAAATTAATTAAATATTAAATTCTGCGTTGTATTATAAATAAAATAAAATAATTAAATTCAAAATTTTCAAGGCAATTAATCTAAAAAAATTCTTGTAAAAAAATATATATACATATATATGCATCTCTCCCTCTCTCTCTCTCTCCTGTGCTCGCAATATTTTTTTCCGCTAATTAAAAACCGAACAATTTCCGCTTCTACGCTTTTTTTTACCCTTCGCCGTATCGCTACTGCATCTCTCCGCACACTTGACTCATTCCAATTTTCTTCCCTGCTTTTCCTCTCCGCTTCATTCTCATTTGTTCCACGCACAATTCTCACCGTTTCTCCACCTCCTATCCGGCTCTCCTTCGACTCGTTCACTCGCTTCGCGCTCTTTAGAAACGGCCAGGCCACCCTCTCTCAACCCCCAACTTCCACCCCCGTAGTATAGGTACGTGTATCTCGCTTCGCTGCGACAATGGCGCCAGGCATCGAATTCACTCTATCGCTCGGACGTATTCCATTAATTACTTTCACTTTGCGTCAATGGCATTTCCATTTCAATGATCGTCTCTCGTTCTGCCCTCAGCATATCCGGCGGCTCCACCGCGAACATCGCCGCCTCGATCCCCTGCGAGTCACCTCATCTCGCCACCCACTTTTCACCCCTTCTCTCTCTCTCTCTCTTTGCCCATTCCAACGGGATTCCATCGCCGTTCATTGAAATAC